GTTCTAGAAACTTGGTTGGTCAGATATTAGGCGATGAACTGATCTGTGTCTTCTGTTTTTCCTCACATATTTCCCATATCTGTGTCTTTGCTGTTTCCTGAGAAATTTTCTTGACTTATTTACCCAACATTGTCATTCATCGTAGACATTTATTGAGTACTTAACTATATTTTAAACATTATTCTAGATGCTGAGGATATAGCAGTGAACGAAACTGGTAAAATCTTTATGGATCTTATATTTTAATGTGGTGAGATAGACAATAAAGAAATGAATGATTAAAATATATAGCAAGGCAGATAGTGTGAGTAGTGGTGAGAAAAACCAAGCAGGGAAGGGATGCGATTTCACATAGGGCAGGCCTCGCTGAGATGATGATGTTGTAAGAAGTGAGTCATTGATATTTGGTAAAAGAGACAGCAAGTGTGGAGGCGCTGACTTTGGAGCATGCCTCGAGAGCCACTGCTGAAGTGAGTTGAGCAACAGAGGGTGAGAGATAGAGGATGAGTTGAGAGAGGAGGATGGGCCACGTTGTGTAGAGTCTGTAGGCAGTTGGAAGGACTTTGGCTTTTACTCTGGATATAAGAAGAAGCAGTTAAGGTCATGGAGTGAAAGGATATGACTTAGGTTTTTAAAAGATCCTTTTGTTGGGATGCCTGGGTGGCTCAGTTGGTTAAGCGACTGCCTTCGGCTCAGGTCATGATCCTGGAGTCCCGGGGTCGAGTCCCACATTGAGCTCCCTGCTCAGCAGGGAGTCTGCTTCTCCCTCTGACTCTCCCCTCTCTCATGTGCGCTCTCTCTCTCTCTCTCATTCTCTTTCTCTCAAATAAATAAAATCTTAAAAAAAAAATAAAAAATTAAAAAAAAATAAAATAAAAGATCCTTTTGTTATTTGCTTAGTTTTGAGAATAAATTAAGAGGGCAACGACAGAAGCCAAGAGAGAAATGGTGGTTAGAATCCAAAGAGGTCAGAATCTGGGTATGTTTTCGGGGCGCCTGGGTGGCTCAGTCTTTAAGCGTCTGCCTTCGGCTCAGGTCGTGATCCCAGGGTCCTGGGATCGAGCCCCGCTTTGGGCTCCCGGCTCAGCGGGAAGCCTGCTTCTCCCTCTCCCATTTACCCTGCTTGTGTTCCGTCTCTCACTGTCTCTCTCTCTCTCTCAAATAAATAAAATCTTAAAAAAAAAGAAAGAAATTATTAAAAACTAATGTTAAAACTTTAGCAGTGTTAGTCTTTATTATTCAAAGTTTCTGGAAAATAATGCAGTGACAGCTTACACAGCAGCCCTGTTCTTTTAGTAAAGTAACCAAAAAGGAGCAGTTTTTAGACTTTTGGTCTCAGAACTCTTATATTCTTAATAATTATTGAAGACCCCAAAGAGTTTTTGCTAATGTGGGTTATATTTATCAGTGGTAGATGTTAGTAGGCATTAGAAATGAAACAGAATACAAAATTATTTAAAAGTAACAATAATTCCACTTAACCATTACATGGTAACATAAATATTTTTAATGAAAAATGACTGTGTTTTATAAAACAGCTTAGTGAAGAGTGGCATCGTTTTGTAGTTTTGCAAATCTCTTTGCTGTCTGGCTTAATAGAAAACAGCTTCTCATTGCTTCTTTAGTCGGTTGTGTTGGGTTTCTATGGTCAATGTATGTAAAGAAAATCTGGCCTCATGTAGGTTTTAGAAAGGGAGAAGTATTGTAATGGCTTTTTCAGATAATGTGGATGTTTTTTGATATTATACCAAGTCTTGATAAGAGAGAGTGTCTTAAAGGTTGGCTTTAATGTGGAATCTAAAATTGCATCAGTGAGCTTTTCGTACTCTGATATATTAAAATCCATTCATCTGTCTTGTGCTGTGAATGGATCTTTTACCCGTGCATGATTTTGTAATACTATGTATTGGTCGTTTGGAAAATACTGGTTCACTGAGTTATGCAGATCTTCCAAATGCTGACACGTTTCTCCATGCAGTATCCAAAAGTCACATTTATGAATATCCGTACCAATATCATCAGAAAATCTTTTAAGTACGTACTGTGGCTGTCAAGCACACAGTGGCAGATTTAGATTTTCCAAAATTTTAATTTTTGCTTAAATGTTTAAATTTTATCATTGGCAACAAATACTGCCAGTTGTTTTTCTTAAAGTGACAGGCTTGCTTTATTTTCAAGAAACTGTCTACCAAATACCCACGTACAAATGATCATAGCTTATCTGCCAGTCATTCTTTCAAATAAAAATGGAATTCCATTGACAGCAACAAAGTGCCTGGCTTAACCCACAACTCAAACAATTTCTTAAATGTTTTTTCCTCAGGGTCGCCGTTGTACTTTGGTATCTGCAAAAGTGCTTTATGTATACTTCCCAATCCTCTCACAGAGAACAGTAAAAAGATTTGTACTTCAGGGTTGAGATTAAATAAAATTAATTATTTTATTTATTTATTTTTATTTTATTTTTTTTTAAAGATTTTATTTATTTATTTGAGAGAGAGAATGAGA